ATGGATGGCGGAATATGGGTGAAGATGGGGGGGGACATATAATTCTCATAGAGATACCCCATTACCAATTAACAAAGATCGAACTAAATAAAATGACTTGAAAGGAGAGACAACCAGTTCAACCACATCTGATTGCATATAGTCTGCTTTGCTAGTACACTGGTATAATTTAGAGAACTTAACAGAGACAACACACCTTTGTAATTCGATGTATTGGAAAAGTTTTTAATTCCAGGAAGCTATAAGTATTGCAAACAGTTGAAGTTCAGGCTAGAGCTATTCATTAACCATCACCAGGCCATGCAGACTGTGATACAAATTGTATGAAAAGAGATGGCACCTTTAAAGGGACACTCTAGGCGCCAAAACTATTTCATCTAATTGAAGTGAATATGGTTCTTGGATTGCACTGGTGCTCTCCAAAACTTTAGTTTTAAACCATTTATACACTTTTTGTTTTCTTTTTTTATTTACTGCGCCTTCTCTTGTCTATTTCTCACTTAATATGTAAATGTCAACAAATGTATTGGCTGTCCCCTAACCAACATCAGTCATATTTTTTTTCCATCAATCATGCCGCACATCACAACACAAACAAAATGGTTTACTCACTGCCTGTATTGTTTGTTTTGTGATTCGTCCATATAGCATTAATTTCGGACGAATCATTGATTACCCAAAATTTTGATGAATCTGAATTTATTTAACTACATAACACTGAAGTTCACAAAAAGTGGTAAAACATGATACCCATAGTGCCAGCTTCTCTCTGCTGCATTAACCTGAGCAGTAATTCGCTGAGAATATTCTTTCCAATCTCAGCCAATCACAGCTGCCCATCGATGGTATGAATTAGTATGTAAGGCTGAGTATAAAACGGTCTTAGCCACATTTCCAGGCACCATAGTAACTCTTTAAGTATCATAATTGCTGCACTGATCAAATGCTGCTGACACATTATCTCATGTTAGGGCAGATGGAATTCAACGGACTTGTGAAATCGGCATTGACACATACTGTGAATGTTACTATAGGGCAAACACAACTACTTAGTTCCAATTTGAATCATCCGTGGATTCAGAAACTTCACATTAATTACATTACATTGTACTTCTTTCATGTCATGAGGTCTTGGAATTCAACAACAAGATTCAGACTTGTAAGAGAAGTGTTTTTTTCCTCCCATTGTATTAGTGCACTAGATCTGAACTGCTGGCCAATGTAAGAAGTGTCCCCTGGGCCATAAGCATAGAGGAGTAATGGTCAGAATTCAAATAAGACCATTCGTCCTCTGATTCATTGCAGCAGCAGGTGGGCTCGCTATTGTCACTGTACTGTAGGAGAGAGGTGGCAGGAAGGAATTTTTGAGGGTTCTTTCCAGACCCTCACCCTTCCAAAAATCTATTAAAGTTAGTCGGATTGGGTGAAAGAGTGGGTTGGTTTGGTTGTAAAGAAAATAGGGCCATTGTTCGTGCTTGCTCCCCAAATTATGCAATTCCTATATTCAGGGAAGGGTTGCCAAGGCCCAAGGGTGTCCTAGGGATAATTACTCCCAGATCACTAGCTTACAAGGTCTGTCAGGTTATTTACCAGAGTGAGAAGTCAATGTGAATTTCAAATTTAAAGGACCACTATAGTGCCAGGAAAACATACTCGTTTTCCTGGCACTATAGTGCCCTGAGGGTGCCCCCACCTTCAGGGACCCCCTCCCGCCCGGCTCTGGAAGGGGGAAAGGGGTTTAAACTTACCTTTTTCCAGCACTGGTCGGGGAGCTCTCCTCCTTCTCTCCTCCTCCGTTCCTCCTCCTGGGCTGAATGCGCACGCGCGGCAAGAGCTGCGCGCACATTCAGCCGGTCGCATAGGAAAGCATTTACAATGCTTTCCTATGGACGCTTGCGTGCTCTCACTGTGAAAATCACAGCCACTGAGACAGCCACTAGAGGCTTTGGGGGAAGGCTTAACCCATTAATAAACATAGCAGTTTCCCTGAAACTGCTATGTTTATAAAAAAAAATGGGTTAGCCCTAGAAGGACCTGGCACCCAGACCACTTCATTAAGCTGAAGTGGTCTGGGTGCCTAGAGTGGTCCTTTAAGGCCTGCGTAGCCCAACTGGAAGTATAGCTGACTAAGATAATATTTCCAATTCAACTATTACAGCCTTGAAACTCACTTTAAATTCTAACTTTAGGGAATAACGCTCTGCATCTGCAGCCTCAGCAGGATAGGATTTGTGCATTTGCTAGCCCAGCTGGTGGTCCATGAACTAAAAACTCTTCTGGCCTGGATTAGACCCTCTGGGATATTTCCCGGGAGACCATAGTAACTGAGCTGGCCAGGCTGCTGAACTATGGTAAGTAAATATGAGTTCTGGAGATGACTGTAAGTAGCAATGTGAGCTGTCAATGGAAATGAGATTAATAACAAATAAATCCCAATTTACACTTGTTAAATGATAGTATGACGCTTGTGAAACAACTGTATATTTGGTTTTCTTAGCCTCGGACATATGTGATATCATGTTGTGCCTCGACAACCCAAGTCTGCGGTCAGCTTAACAGTTTTCTTCAATCTAGCAGTTTTATGCTCACTAGCACTGAGCTTAGTATTATCTGTGCTTTTACAGCCATTTGCAAATACTCCTGCCCTTTGCTCATCATCTTAGTCACATCTGCCAACGTTTTACAACTCTCTAATCGATAGGAAGTTTTTTCAAACTCCTCGTGTTTCTTGGCCTCACTGAGGTCCTTAAAAACAATTTATTATTAAGAATATATTATATAATGGGTGCACTGCCACTGCCTAAAGGCTGAAGTTAATTACCATTTTGTTATCCCACTGCCTCTAACCGTTACTTAGAAAGGATTCTTTAATTTTCTTCCTTGCGTCACTCCTTCTAATTTTACTATTTCTTAACTTTTCTTTCATTTACTTCTTTTACTTTTTTCTTCCTTGCTTTAATTTTTTTTTATTTGATAAAAAAGGCTCAATAGGTGCACACTCATGTTTCATGGATTGAAGTTAATGGATGTTATCAGCAGGTGAATACTCTGGCACAAGGAAATGATTGTCTGCGACTGATTATACACACAGGATGATGAATTCACCTTATTTCACTGTTCCGACTGGTCTCCAAATGCCCTGGCGATGAGATACAATGATCCTTTCAAAGTAGAGATCCCCTGCTAGCCAAATGTAGGAAGATCTACACACATTTCATATTTGGAAAAATGGATGCATACATTGGCACAAACACAGATGCCCGATCTTACAAACATAGACACAGAGACAAATACCTACATCTACAACCACACATATACGGATTCCTACAGATGGGCAAACGCAAACATTTACACTCTCATATGAACAACCGCACAGAGATACATACACCTATTCATACATAAAGCATGGCTAGCAGGCTTTGAAGGTGGTGGTCTGTAATGCAGCTACTCCTGGTGGCTAGACGGAATGCTCATGACTTCTTGGTGGGAGCGTTTGCCCTGGTGTTCCCCTCATTTATTCACCAATGACTCTATAAGCTTCCAGCCAATCCTGGGTTCAACTGTCAGTCACTTTGATGTTTTTTTTTATGTGGACATTAATTTCGACATCAATTTACCAGTGGGCAGGGTATATCTATCAAATGGTAAAATAGTAGAAATACAGTGAAAAGGTATGTGTGGTAGCTAAAACAGCCACAAACCACCTAAGTGGAAACCCCTTATACCACTTACATAGAAATACAATGAATACATACAATAGGTGGAACACACATCTGACGATTCTAGAAAAAGAAACAGAATATCATAGTATAATACTGTTAAATAAAAATATGATAGATGGCAATAGAGCAACATTACTCACAAGCCCAGAGCCAGTATAACATATGAGGATGTTATTTTACAATCTATGATATTGTCTGTGATTTTTTTACTGTGCGGTCCCTGATGAAGTTCTAGTCTTGAACGAAACGCGTTGGACCTATTGCTGCACTTTTAAACCTTTATTCTTATGGTGCTTGTTCACCTTTTAAGAAAATAAAAGTATTGCTTTTCTACTATTACTAACCTGGAGTCCCGTGTTCCATTGGTCGCTTTACATCGGATAGGGGAAACCACTAGCCCCCTATGCTATCTGGGGAGGCACCCTATGAATGCTTTTTCATCTTCATCATCTTGTGAGTGCATCCATTTAAGCGCACTATTCACTGTATTTACTGTATCACACTATTGTGTTTTTTTCCTTTATATGTTCCCTCTATAGATTATACAGCCGTATCCCATTTCTGTCTGGGGTTCTATGCATATGTTAAGATCGTTTGTTGTGGATAACGATCCTGGGAGGCTGCATATTGATTGAAGTTAAGTAATTTATTTAATTAGAACACTTATCTAAAGGTGTTCGTTTGTTTGTTTCCAGTATAACATATGGCTCTTATGTGAAGTGCAGTGGGACTCTTAATAGGATGTCCCCATCCTTCTTCCTATTCTTTCTTGGGTAGTTGGAAGGTGTATCTAAATCTATCGCCCGCTGCCCGCTGAATAAACATCACCCTGGTGGTAAATGGAGGTGCAGTTCATCAAATAATTCCTAATATTAGATACACTGACAGGGATTTCACAGTGCGAATTGTCAGCAATTCTGAATAAATTTGATATTTTAGACCAAAATAGCTACAATGAAAACTTAGCTCATTTGTCAAATTTTTCCAATTCAGCCGCTACTCTGATCTAAAATTTGAAATTCACTTTGAATTCGCTGTTTAGTGAATAAGCCATTTAAGTTCATACAGATGTGTATTATATAATCACATATCAAACTCGTGTATGTGTATATGTATATATATATTTATATATATATTTTTTTTAATATATAATGTGTAAAATGAATGTGTGTGTAAATAAATGTAATTTGACATACAGTAAAATAAAATAAAATAAAGTGTATAAATGCTATTATCAGACTCCTTGGATAGAGCATGAGACAGCAGAAGTGTTCCCATCTCATCATCATGAACTTTAAACCCCAAGTTCCACATGTCAGACTGCAGATCCTGCTTATCTCAGCTGATAAGTTTAAAGCTGTGCGTGTTCGCAGGGGTATAAAATGCAGACAGAAGCCAACAGCACTCACAGGACAAGCACCAGCCACAAGAAGCACAGGTAAGAGATTACAACAGACTTGGTGAATAGCCAATGCTCCCTTGTGTGGGATTCCTGGGGCAGCTTTCCTGGCACTGGAAATCTGGCTTCATTTTTGATGATAAAGAAGGAGGGAGCGATCATTTTATTTGGATGAATTTGTTTTTTCTTCTCCGTTTCCAAGATTAGCTCAGTCTAATCTTATTGAATCTGCTTATTCACTAAACATCGAATTGTAGTGAATTGGAAAACAATATTTCAAAGCGTAGAAAAAAAATGTTCTGAGTACAAATGATTCTCCACTTCAGCCACAGACACAAATTTACTCTGTTAGCAAGAATGTTTTAATTCGGTGTTCATTTCACCACAATTCAATGTGTAGCGAACAAACTTATTCGAAAGTCATTATATAGAAATATCATCCTATTATAATAACTGAGAGAAATAGACCTTTCATATTAACCCATTTTTAATATCCACTCTCTTTCTTAATTGTATAATAATTAATGACTAATGTTTACATGTCCAAAATAAATTTTCAAATGTTATTTAAAAATACATTTTTATAATGACTTTGAGGCTGAGAATTTGAATCCTGCTCGAAGTGAATCTTCAAACAGGAATGAAACATTAGGCCTTTATTGCCAGGATTAACCCCCCTCATTGCTGAGGTGGCCTGATCTGTTTCTTACTTTATGATGTTTTTTTAATATGGTTTTGTTGTGATGATTAATAGACAGGAATCTTACTCGCAGCATTTACGCGAGCCGCCTTATTACGGGTTTGTTATTATTTCACTTTATGATATTTCATATATTACATTATACTTTAGAAACCACGAAAATGACTTGGGACACATTGTAACTGCACGTTTTCTCTGTAACTTTATAAACGTTAACTTAATGCTGTTGCAAATGTTTCCATTGACTTGCTGAAGAGCCCCAAGAGCCCGAAATTGGCTGTGAGTGGAGATTCTTTCCTTCCCATTCCAAAATGTTCTACTTCTCTCTGAAAATGTTAAAATAGCACAGGGCAAAAATGTGGTTGCTCTTTCTTAAGAAGCTATTTACTAAAGTAGAAATTGTTGGGAATTCACCAGGGATTTTCTAAAGTTAAGGACAACTCTATTTTTTATAGTCTGCCTGCAGCGGCCTAAAATTCTCGGTGAATTTTTTGCACTTCGTAGTTATGTGTGTGTGTGTTTTGTATGTTTTCCTTATATATGCTTACATATATATATTGTATATTTATTGCTTCCCATTCTGTTCTTTTGACTCTGTATGTTATGACATGAGATGAGCGCATGGCTTTTCTTCATTTTTTGTTATTTAAAATCTATTTCATAGAATATGTTTGTGATTCTCGTTTCTTACTCTGTATGTTTTACAGCTAGCACGAACAACTTGCAGCCATGAGAGGCTTCGTTTTCAGTCTTGTACTGCTCTTCCTTGCAGGTAGGTAGTCATGATCACAGGAAAACACGTTTAATGATTAAACTGTTGGGTGAGCATGATGACAGCCATCAGTTACAACAGTAGGATCGTCATATCTTACACGCTACCAACCTAAAGGGTTACGTCTGATAATTACTGCTGGAGAGATACCTGTTGGCAAGCTCTCCTCCATACACTAATATCATATTTATCCCTTGACTGTATACTGTGTGATTCTTTACACTGTATAGAACAGAATTAATCCCCAACTGTTGCAGGACTGCAATTCTCATGATTCTTTGAAAGCCTTAATCTCTAGCCACTAATGGTTACTAAAGTGTTGATTCCCCTTTAACCATTGTTTCTAAAAAATCCCACAAAAAAAACCTCTTGAAATAAAATGAAATGGAATATACATAATATAAAGAATGTAGTTGACATCTGTGATACCCCAGTTTATGCTAAATCCCTTCTAAGATTTTCTAGAAAAACAAAATGGCTTCTACCTGTTGCCCTATCATGGCACTGTGGCTATGTATATTTGCTGATATAAGCTGTTTTCATAGAAAAGTTTCTAGAAGATACTTCGCATTTTCAAAATATTTAAAACCTGTTTAGGTTAAGGTATATCCTGTTTTATGAAGTTTAGCTCATGGTTTAGACAGCTCCCTCTTTCATAAAGAGTACATATGGTAACTCAACGGCAACAGTCTGACTGAGTTACAAAGACCTATTAACCACATGAAACCATAAAATATAACAATCTTTCGGTGTCAGTCTTGTTTTGGGCATCTGTCACTATTGTTAAATCACATTCATTTTCTATTATTGTTCTCTACAGGAACCCAGGCTCGGTACCCTTGGCAGCATGATGAGCCCCACACTCCACTTCAGCAGGCCCGAGAGATCATTGACTCTTACCTAACCAAAGTTAAGGAATTGGGCAAAGAGACCGTTAGCCAACTGGATGAGTCAGGATTTGGAAAACAACTTGAGTAAGTTGCCAGTTTCAAGCTGGGAAATGGACCTCCCAATATTTCAAATGTACAAAGAGGGTCTGGGTGGGGATGTGGCCAGTGATGGGGTATGTTCTGAGATATTTTAAGTGACTTACTCATAATAATTTATGAAACTAAAATGTAATTTAGAACAAGAAGAATGTATCTTATTTGTAAAGACTGATTTCTAAACACATTTATTGTAATTTAAAGACATGTTGCTGAGAGTATTATTGCTCTGGAGTTCCAAAAAAAGAGTGACAGAGGGAAATGGGCCCAGAATAGAGACTGTTCATCCTAAGTAGGGACACTTGGGAGGTATGGAAATGAAAGGGTGGAATAAAGATATCATTGACTTATAGACAATGAAATTCACAATGCCCAACAATAATATAATACGACGAATGCTTGACCTGGTGCTGATAAACTAGGCATGGCTTTGAGATTAGTCTCGAGTTAATTAATAGACAATAAAAATCTCCCTTTTATCTATAAGAATAAAACTGTACTGGGCAGAGGAAAATGTGAAAAATGACTATTTTCATAGTAGAGTTTATTTAATAAATTGCAGTAAGTTGTGCGCTGTCTGAATAACAAATTTGGGGCTAAAATGGAAACACTCTCCTATTCAGGGATAGTCATAATTTGGCTATTTCAGCCCGAGTTTCTATTGAGGTTTCAGTTCACTATATTTTTTAGGGTTTACTGAATAACCCTGATTGGGGATGATAATACTTGATCCAAATTATTTACAAGTTTATTTTAGGATTCTAATGGCATCTTTGCAACTTTTTAATTAACATTGGTAATGCAGTCTTTATTGTTATGGCAGATTAAGTTATTGATGTCATTTTTGTAATTATGCTATGTTCTAACCCTTTCCATTTAGACTGAAGCTAACTGAGAAATTTGAGACCCTTAGCACAAATGCCCTTCAGTTGAAGAAAGAGATTCGTCCCTATCTGGATAATGTCAGAGAGCAGGTGGCTAAGGAAATTGGGAAAGACATTCCGATTATCCAAGAGAAAGTACGTCCCATCCTGGAAGCGTTCCATAAACGATGGATTGAGGAAGTCAAGGCATACCAGCAGAAAGTAGAACCCCTGGGTGCTGAGCTACGTAAGCAGACCAAGGAGAACTTCGATGCCTTCAGAGCCAAGGTTCTGCCCTATGCCGAGGAACTTAGGGACAAGCTGCGTGCTGAAATTGACACCCTACGCGTTACACTGGGCCCTTTAGGTGAAGAAGTGAGACAGAAAGTTGCAGAGAAATTGGAAGAACTCAAGGCCAACGCAGGTCCCCGTGCTGAGGAGATCAGAGCCCAGGTTGCTCAACAGATCGAAAACCTGAAAGAGAAACTCGCACCTCTGGCCCAGAATCTCAGAGAACGTCTTCAGCCCCATGCAGAGGAAGCAAAAAACAAGTTGGCTAAACTAGTGGAAGTAGTGAGGGCCAGGCTTAACCAGCAAGCAGCATAAACCCATTCCCTGTTCAAAAACTTCATGAAGCCATGGTGCTATCGAAATCAGTATCTCTCGATCCATCACATCAGTTTCTATTCCTTTTACCATACAAATAGTACTGATGAGAGATATTATGTTAACATGCTGCTAACTTACCAATCCTCTTTTCACTTTGTGGCTCAGAAGATAAAATATTAACATGATTTTAAAATCTACTTTGCTGTTTACATATTACACATTGCTTACCTCCTTCTTTAAAACAACATACCTATGAATTCTAAGGTTTCATTGACTAAAATAAAATGCGTTGGTAATCTATTGCTGGTGTTCTCTGTGTTCTATTTCTTTCTTTTTTTTATTTTTTATTATACTTTCATTTCGTAGTTTTCCTCCTTTGTTTCATTTTAGGGAAAAATGGCAGTCAGTAATCTGACTCATCCATGTAAACACATCACATAATAAATAAAAAAGGAATTCTTGGGAGCCGGCCAGTATGGGCTCAAATAGGAACACAAACGTATGGCAAAAATAAATGAATTAATTAATAAAAAATAAATTTAAAAAAATAAATTAAAAATAAAATAAAAAGTGTACAAAGTCCTCAAAAGGAGGTTTTTCAAAAAGATCTTGGTGAAAGATCATTATCAAATTTATGAAAGGGCTCTATAATCAGTTACTGAATCAAATAATAAAATAATAGGATAGGACTGTCTCCCGCTTACAGACATTTCAAGGCCAAATAGATGTTAAAATTACTTTGCTATTTAACATCTAATTCCTTTTTTTTCCTTCTAATTAGTAGAAAATGTAATGGAACCTAATGTCACTCAGCTGGAATTAGATGTCAATTCCCATCATCCTCCGCAAAACCATTGTGGAGCATGATGGGAATTGACATCTAATCCCTGGGTCATAGTCACGTGACATAATTAGATTATTTCTCATGCACTTAGTGGGATCTCCCATGAAAATGAAACTTTGGATATTTAGTAATACGTTTTAATTTTGGATACTTTGCTAAATTATAATAAGTGTTCATGGACTTTAAATATTTAGCAATTTTGTTTCATTTCCCAACACCTTCTAATATAAGGGTCAGTGTTTCTCTTCAAAGCAATGCAAATTGTCTTTGTTCCAAACAAACCAAATCTGTCCTGTACAATATTGAGGAAATGAAGAAGCCAAAATCGGAGAATAATGAACTGTACCAGAATTACTGATATATTCTAAATGGTATTGGCAGGGCCATTACAACTAGGCTAAATAAGCATACAGAACACAAATACAACAGGAGGACATGTAGATGTAGTAATGAGCTAGTTGGTGTCTTTGAATGGACTTAATGGATGAAGCAATTGCGCATGATTTGTAATATTTTTGTAAATATCTTATAAACACACACAGACATATAACACATACAAACAAAACAAGCGGTGGTGGTTCAGCAGTCCAAGAAGAAAGGGCTGTTGGACAACCACCAGTGGAAAGTCGCCTAAACTAATCTCCCAAAATGAAACCCTATTAATGAATATCAAACAGAAATGAAAATCTAGCCCCCGCCCCCCTAAAAAATAAGGTACCTAAAGAGGGAGAAAAATAGAAATTAAATAGACCCTAACTTTTATTAAATAGAGGGCTCTCTTTTGGCTTTGTTTTATATATTCATTGCACGGACACACTTATCTCATGGGTGTTTTGTTTTGGTTATTGAGGCCTAAGAGGTAATACAATACAAAAAAAAAGAAAAATGCATTTGCGCATTTATATACATGCATAAAATCACTGTGGAAGAAACTCCTAGTTAAATCAGCCTCAGTTTAAATTAATATATACAGTGCTTTGCAAAAGTATTCACTCCCCTTGACTTGTTACCTATTTTGTTACATTACAGCCTTAAGTTCAATGTTTTATTAATCTGAATTTTATGTGATGGATCAGAACACAATAGTCTAAGTTGGTGAAGTGAAATGAGAAAAATATATACATAAAACTATTTTTTAGAAATAGAAAACAGAAAATTGGCATGTGCGTATGTATTCACCCCCTTTGTTATGATGCCCATAAAAAGCTCTGGTGCAACCAATTACCTTCAGAAGTCACATAATTAGTGAAATGATGTCCACCTGTGTGCAATCTAAGTGTCAGATGATCTGTCATTACATATACACACCTTTTTTGAAAGGCCCCAGAGGCTTCAACACCTAAGCAAGAGGCACCACTAACCAAACACTGCCATGAAGACCAAGGAACTCTCCAAACAAGTAAGGGACAATGTTGTTGAGAAGTACAAGTCAGGGTTAGGTTATAAAAAAAATCCAAATCTTTGATGATCCCCAGGAGCACCATCAAATCTGTCATAACCAAATGGAAAGAACATGGCACAACAGCAAACCTGCTAAGAGACGGCCGCCCACCAAAACTCACGGACTGGGCAAGGAGGGCATTAATCAGAGAGGCAGCACAGAGACCTAAGGTAATCCTGGAGGAGCTGCAGAGTTCCACAGCAGAGACTGGAGTATCTGTACATAGGACGTCAATAAGCCGTACGCTCCATAGAGTTGGGCTTTATGGCAGAGTGGCCAGAAGAAAACCATTACTTTCAGTAAAAAACAAAATGGCACGTTTTGAGTTTGCAAAAAGGCATGTGGGAGACTCCCAAAATGTATGGAGGAAGGTGCTCTGGTCTGATGAGACTAAAATTTAACTTTTTGGCCATCAAAGAAAACGCTATGTTTGGCGCAAACCCAACACATCACATCACCCAAAGAACACCATCCCCACAGTGAAACATGGTAGTGGCAGCATCATGCAGTGGGGATGTTTTTCAGCAGCCGGGACTGGGAAACTGGTCAGTTGAGGGAAAAGTTGGATGGTGCTAAATACAGGGATATTCTTGAGCAAAACCTGTGCTTGATTTGAGGCAAGGACGGAGGTTCACCTTCCAGCAGGACAATGAATCCAAACACACTGCTAAAGCAACACTTGAGTGGTTTAAGGGGAAACATGTAAATGTGTTGGAATGGCCTAGTCAAAGCCCAGACCTCAATTCAATAGAAAATCTGTGGTCAGACTTAAAGATTGCTGTTCACAAGCAGAAACCATCCAACTTGAAGGAGGAATGGGCAAAAATCCCAGTGGTAAGGTGTGGCAAGCTCATAGAGACTTATCCAAAGCAACTTGGAGCTGTGATTGCCGCAAAATGTGGCTCTACAAAGTATTGACTTTAGGAGGGTGAATAGTTATGCACATTGACTTTTTCTGTTATTTTGTCCATCTTCAAAGTTGTGGGCATGTTCTGTAAATGAAATGATGCAAATCCTCAAACAATCCATGTTAATTCCAGGTTGTGAGGCAACAAAACAAGGGGGGTAAATACTTTTGCAAGGCACTGTAAAAAGAATACTCGCTAGGTAAACATGCCAAGGAGCATGGTATAAAGTTAAACACACATTTAGTCGTAGAAGAGATGCCAAACACATGAAGTTCTGTTTAGGTATAAACATGCTAATACATGTCTAGCTAGACACACATGTCTACATGTATGATACATGCAAAACAGTGGTATGAAAAATGCAGACATGGTGAGTCTCTGTTAAGTATAAACTATGTGAAAGACAATGCTTAATGAACCATTGTAGCCTGAACTCGCGATATGAATACTGCGCTGCATAAACTAAAACCATTCTAGTTAAACATATGAAAAGTTCCCACTGAGATTGATATCCCAACCTCATTAGTGCACACTTAGAAATGAGGGGTAAATTGAGAGAACACCAAAATAGCATATCAAAGGAAATGGAGTATATTAAAATCAAAATTTAAAATTATGGAACACTCAATGCTTAGGCGATAGGCCACTTCGCCATGGAGGGTCACTAGTCAAGTGATCCCCCAGTTTGGAAAGCTCAAAGTGCCTGCTACAAGGTATCAGAGGCCATCACAATACGGTATCGAGGTAGGGCCCCTCTCCTGCCCCAGTCTAATGGATAGATGAGCATCTCTAAGCCACAGCCAGTTTTAAATAAATCTGCCTTTTTAAAGAAACCTTACTTTCTATCAATATCTACAACATTTGTTTTCCAACTTGGTCTTTGATGCACCTGGTTTTCACTGTGAGAGTGCGGTATCCTTTATCTTTGAATCAACATTGTTCTATAGAGCAGTCCAGATACCCCAGGTGGAAAGGACCCAATAGAGGAGATGTGGTCACAGGCACTTGGTGGAACCCAGCTATCTTCTGGAGTGGGATTCTTAACAAATAAAACCTTACTGATAGCTTAATAACAGTTTTCCCACTGACACGTGAGAAAATGCTATTCAATAACTGGAGATATTAATATTTCTCTATAACAGAACCTAGCCCCTGGCTGGAAACATTAATCAAGCAAACTATAGTGTAACAAACTGAATCATTTTTCTACTCCATGGAATTTAACCTGCATGTGACGTTTACAGTTTTTGTTTGTTGTTGCTCTGAGCAAAATCCAAAGTTTAATTTTAGTGATTACCGATCCAAACAGCAAACTGTATTCATTTGTTTGATGATAAGACATGTTTTTTTAAATTATTTTATTTTATTATAGTGTTCATGATTGATATGTATGTCCACATAACATTTAGAGGCTTTTAAAAAAAAATTAAAAAAAAAGGTTACTAGTGGCCCCTGAACCTTTGTAGCCACCGTGTCAGACATTAATTAGACCTTTATAAGCCATGCAGGCACTCCGTATCTGATTGGGCACGTGCCCAGAAATGGGTGGTTCAATCCCTATATTTACCGGTGGAAAACTTTCCTGATCACGAGAGCACCTGAGCACCCTGAACTGGTAAGGAAGCTTCTTGTATTATGTCAAATATCAGCATAATATGAGATTTATAAATGTGGGTCGCAATTTGTATTTTCTTTGATTTTCTGTAACTTCCCAGGAATTTAAAATTGTTTGCTCAGGCTGTATATTTAGCTATATGTTTTATATATATATATATAAAATAAACTTAAATGTAGAAATCCACATTTGTATTGTAGAACTGGGCACCTCCATATTGGTTCCCTGTCAATTGTCTTGTTTGCTATTACAAACAGGAAATATAAAGGGGGAAATCTGAATAATATTTCTGTTCTGCTCTTCATTTGCATTGTGTGCCATGCTTGTGCCAGGATGGAGCTGTTGCTTGCGAAAATGTTATTATACATTTTAAAAGAAAACGGCACACATAGGGACTTTTCAGTGTTTTATTCAATGGTGTTATTTGCAGAGAAGTTTAAGTCAAATGGCAGCAAGTAGGAGGATTGGCAGAAGGGTATGGCGGACATCGTGTAGAAGTAATACAAAGTAAAAAATTTAAACTAGCGTATTGTTTGTATAGAACTGTAGGTGTGATTCGGTATAGGCAGCACCTCGGGAGTCATCAGACCGGAGAGATTTGGATTCTAGTAAAGGAAAGATTGGAGGATCAGTGAACATATTATTATAACAGAATATTTAGCTGTAGAGAAGGACCCTCACCAATGCTGACATTGTACCGAGTATAGAGATTGTGAGAGTCCAGAACTGAAGGGAATAGATGAATCCCGAATAAGGAATATTGAGTTGTCTGAAGAGAAAGTGCAGATACAGATTTTGGTTCAGATATTTCAGTGGTGGATAAATGGTAAAGACCGACCAAATGAATGGAAACTGCAGGGAATTGTGGAGGGATAGAGAACGCAATGGAATTTTGGCTTCTTTTTAATCACTCCAGTCATGGACCCGAGTACATGGCTGTTATCCATGATGCTTGAAGGGGAATATGTGTTATAATTTTAAAAGATTACACTAGAGTAAGACCAATGGTGTTATATAGCGATAAAATATTATAGGAAAAGAAAGTCAGTTTCACTCTACCATAAAGGAAATACACAGGCCTCTCTCACTGGAGTAAAATCTCTCCTGTTTATTACAGTTTAGTAAATCACAACCAGGGTTAATTTTTTTTGTGTTGTAAAAGAATAAAAAAACACCAATTCTTCCAAGGTCGTCTACTGAAGTGAGAATCGAAAGTGAATTTGAAATTTCAGGTCAAAATAGTCCGTTATGCTTTTAGTTGAGCTTCTCTGGCCTTAAATTTGAAATTTGATTTGGTTTCACTTTGGTATTCAGTAAATAACCTTGCTGGTAACACGCTCTGCTTCTGTACCCACCTCTAGGCATGTATAATATGACGAGGGCACTACTTTATGGCCGTCACAGCTGCTGTTATTCTGACCATTTCATTATTTTCCAGGCAGAAGACGATAACCATGAGGTTTGTCATTGTAACTTTGTCGCTGCTGTTCCTATCAGGTATGTGGACGTTTGTTTGTGTATGTTCGTATATTCTCCGCAAGTAAAATATATGGCAAGGACATCAAGTATCATTAAGGTACTACTGAAATGGCCAAAGCTAATACAAAGCACATCAGGGGTTCAATAGAATTGACACAGAAGAAGGATTCAGACATTTAATGGCCAGACCCTGCATTCCTCGTCTTGCACACCTGGAGCTTATTTGTCTGTGTACTGTATTTAGAATGTTTATATGTATATATAATAATTAGTACACATTTAATCAAGTAAGCACTTACCTATAAATATTTTTCTTGGTGGAAGAGGCTAGTTGCAACTGCAGTCCAGTATGGAAACTAACATGCATCTCAGGCAGGTCAGGTTATGTATTGTCCAGTGCTGCCCCAGGTTAGTGCAGTTCTGCGATAGCCGTGGGTCTGCCTTTTGGTCACTCCATGATCAGAACTAGTCATTGTCCTTGTGATGCTTCCGACATGCTCTTGTTCCTGAATGGTAATTGAGGGGTTTATTTAGGCAAAAAAATTAAAATTAAAACAATCTAGAAAAATTCTCAAATTCCATTATAGCTATGACTTGGCTATTTTAGATTCTGTTTTGACATTCAGATTTCAATATTCTGTATTTGTTAGTTTAGTGAAGCAATTTAAAAAAAAATTTTTTTATGAATGAGTCTCTGTGGAACTCCAAACAAGTTAATTGTTTAGAGGGTTACTCATAAAACCCCTCTACTGACATCATTCCCCTCGCTAGAGTAGGACAGATATCAGGGAGGCCTGACTGAGGGGAGGACATTCTGTGCTTGCCAAAGTCAAACGTCCAATATGCACAGAATTCACATCTAGCTCCGGCCTGTCTAATAATGCCTAATGATGCTACTGGAGGTGGGGTTACAACTCTGGCAGTTGAGGGGTTAAACTCTGCATGTGCAGCGTTTTCATCACCACTTCAAATCAGTAAAGCTGGCATGGTGCTTGGAGCCACCCGTTAAATATCCTTGATTGTTTCCTTTTATCGTCTACTAAGAATTGCTCCAGATAGTAGTTTGTAAAATTATAGTAAAAGCTCTTTCAGGTTAGATCACGGCCAGGATATTCCAGTTCAGGTCTTGTACTAACACGGACACCTGAATTGCAACCACCAAGCAACGTGTGAACTGCTCTCACTGTTTCTGTCACTCTATCCTACAGGAACTCATGGGGATTTTCTGTGGCAGCACGATGAACCTAAAACGCCTGAGCAAGATGCTAGTGAAGTGATAGCAAACCTTTTACACAACACCGTCAGGCTGGGAGAAGAAGTTTTGAAACAACTGGAGTCATCAGAAGTTGCTAAAGAGTGAGTTTTATCTAGTGCTACATAATATCCAATAACACTGCGTATAATACAGTTATATGTGTCAAATTATCCAGCACCGAACATAACACAATGAGAGAAGAAGAAATATGATTGGATGAAATTTAAAAAGATGGTTAATCTCTCACCTCCATCTAATGCCACGTGTTGTCAATCATACTAAGGTAATAAGAGAACAGATAGCATCGGTAAAAGAAAGGATGATCTAAATCAGAAAAATACAAATTAAATCAGTGTAATATCTCCCTAAAGTTAGAATCATCGAACTTAAAGTGAATTCAAATTAAATTTCAAATTTAAGGTCAAAGTAGCTGATCTGGCAGTACAGCTGACTTGGAGTTTTATCCAGTTTGGCATTGAATTTACTTTGAATTCCTGACAATTCCCATTTTAGTGAATAACTCTGAGAGTTTCTGCATGTGCAGCGTTACTGTGAACATTTCAAAGTGTGCAACACTAGTGTGAATGCATGTTAGGAATACCATGTGATCAGTGTCCGCGAGTGCCTGTCAGTGTCAGCATCAGTATAAGTGCCTGTCAGGAATACCATGTGATCAGTGTCTGTGAGTGCTTGTCAGTGTCAGCGTCAGTGTGAGTGCGTGTTAGGAATACCATGTGATCAGTGTCAGCAGGTCTCTGTCAGTGTCAGTGTGAATGTGTATCAGAAACCTACATGTTATCAGTGTGAGCGGGTACCTGTCAGTGTCAGTGTGAATGCATGTCTGATCTTTTGTATGTGCAGAGTGTCAGTATAAGTGAATTTCCGTTTTAGTTGAACTATTTACCCTATTTAAACCCCTTCAAGACAATTGCACTATTATTTCATTCTCTATCCCAGGCATCTATCTCCTTATTGTCTGTAAAATAGATAAAACAGAAGTGAGGGAGAATATATATTAGAGAGGGAAGCATTTCTTCCAACTCCCCCACATGCTGCTGTTCAAGACCATTATTGGGTCAGATGGAAGGAGATCCTTAGATCATTGCACCTTGAGCATGGCTGCATCCTCAACACCAAGCCCTCAGTCCATCAAGCACCAGGTGCTGAGCAGTCTATTCAATCATGGCTGGATATATATGATGTTTTTGCATCCTCCTCTGATGTCTAGTCACTTATGATGCCCACGGCTGGATGCTGCTAACTGTGCATTTTATTCTAGAACCTCCAGAGAAGGTTGTAACTTTCCCCTTCAAGAGCACAGACATCTCGTATTCCGCCATTGCCGTTGATCACAGTTTGACATTCCTCATTGGTTGTCAAGCCTCTGAACCCCATTGGCTTATGTTCTGGATAACACATTCTTATAATTATCTTGCTGATCTGTCATACACAGTTACATAGTAACCCAAGTATAATAATCTAGGTTTAAAAAATGTAAAAACATCATCTTCTGCCTTTATAATACTATTACGTTGCATATAAATGTCATGTTACACTTTTTTTTCTCTGTCCCCAAATGAACTCCTCGTTTCTCCCTTCCATCTTTTTGACTTGCTTTCTACATGATAGATCTAGATGATTTTCCATCTAGAATTAAAAAAAATAGGTCCTATTTGTTATGATAACATGTTTATAACCTTATTTTTTACATTTTTTTGGTAGACTGCATGTTAAGGAGAGAATTGAAACTTTAAAAAAAAATGCCGATATCTTTAAGGAAAAAGTTGATGACTATGTGGATACTGTATGGAAGGAAGTGGACAAAGAAATTCATGACAATTACCCAGTGCTGAGGACGAAGGTGATCCCTCTCCTTGAGAACTTCTATAAACAATGGGAAGCGTACACTGTGAGCTTGAAGAAGGATGTTTCTCATTATACAGTATCTCTTTTCTCCGATATAAAAAGAGGTCTTTTCAGCTACTTTGAAAATTTGCGCCCCCTTGCAGAGAGTGGCCGTGACAAGTTACGTTCTGAAATCGAATCCCTGCGTTCAAACATAGCTCCTCTTTTGGATCAGCTTCGTGAGGAACTGGAAAGGAACCAAAAAGAACTAAAAGGTGATATCAAAGACAAGTCTAAGGAAGTGCAAGCACTGATAGACAAAGGAGTTGACGAATTGAGGGAACGCATTAAACCCTATCTAGAAAGTCTGAAGGAGCAGGTGTCTCCGGGGGCTGAGGAGCTGAAAAAGAATTTGGAGAAACTGCTTGAAGAGGTCAAAGCAAAACTCTACAAAGAAGCTTAAAAGCACCTTTACAGGTTGATGTAAGAAGGAAAGAGATACACCCTTACATTTCCCACCTCTCCATCATTACTAGACCCACCACCTCAGTCTAATGATGTTTGTTAACAAACATAGTAATTATCTTTTCCATCACTTAGTCTCACGTGATTTAATAGATCTGATCTCTTATTGTGTTCTCTACCACTCAATTTCTATGTCGGTTTTCTTTATTTTTCCCATGGATTCAAGCCCTCTATAAGAAGTTATCTCTTGATGGTCTGTTGACAATACTATTTGTTTTATGCAAAAATAAAACTATTTTCTCAATTCTTCATTTTTTTTAAATCCTTTCTTGGTTTGTCAGCGTATTGAGCCTTGTCTTAAGCACAAATATGTTATGAACCTGTGACACTCCAGTAGTTATTGCCTGTCTAATGAGGGCTTTTTGATGACCAGGCCATATAATTAAAGGGTTGCTCCCACCATCATAACCATAGTCATGGTGGTGGAGTCGGTATGTGCAACAGAGATGCTGGGGGAAAGTTGCAGCTAAACTCAGCCCAAAAGTCTGACAGTTCAAACAGTGGGAGAAATCCTCCCCTCGCCAGCCTGGAGCCCGCACATGCACTCTGAGCTGGCAAATTGGTCCAAACACAGGCTTCACTATGAGAAAACTGTGACTGGTATATGCAAGTGCCAAGTGAGGTCACGATGGAGCATGGACAAGCAGCACTGGTAGTGCTTTGAGTTAAAATTATTTCTGCAGAGTTTTACAAGTGGAGAACCTAATAGGTATGCCTCATATGGCATTTAATATGCAAATCTATTAATTTATAATCAGGGTTGGATTAACCCTTTAGGAATAAGTCCAGTAGTGTGGTAGGGTTAGAGTCTCAATGCTGCAAGGAAGCTTTATTTTGTACATAAGGTAATGCTTGGTCTACTCTACATCTTTTATAGTTCAAATGGTAACTTTCTAAATATCCATGTTACTAGAGGTATCTCAGCCCGGTATAACATAACTTTTTATCAATCCATTTTGATACAATTTTGATTGACGCAGATACAGCTTGGCAAATTTTAAAAGGAGAGATGGGAAAATCAAGATAAACTGCTAATTGTGTAAACAATATAAGATGCAAAACCTTATTAGGAGTTTTGCAGATATAACATTTTATTGCAAACTCCTGTGTTTGAAAAGTAGAAGAGTAAAGTCCATTTTTTTTACTGGTTTAACTTTTTTCAGAGTTTTCTTTTTTTAAGCTGTGACTCACAGCTAGCAAATCTGCTGTGAATTTCACATTTTCAAACACAATCTGATCCAATTCGTGGAATTACTGAAAGCAAAAGTTGTGTAAACGAAAGAAATCGATATTGAGGTTTATGTTGAAAAAGGTATAAAGTCTACAGATGTGTGGGAGTTTTAGGTTAAATATCAATATGAGACTTCCTGTCCCTCCGAGGTAATGTTCAACCTCCGTGGGTGCAGAGTATAATACAAGTGTCATGTTCGTCATGTGGGGGCTGTATGATGTGAGTGCCATGTTTGTCATGTGGGGGCTGTATGATGTGAGTGTTATGTTTGTCATGTAGGGGCTGTACGATGTGAGTGTTATGTTTGTCATGTAGGGGCTGTATGATGTGAGTGTTATGTTTGTCATGTAGGGGCTGTACGATGTGAGTGCCATGTTTGTCATGTGGGGGCTGTATGATGTGAGTGTTATGTTTGTCATGTAGGGGCTGTACGATGTGAGTGTTATGTTTGTCATGTAGGGGCTGTATGATGTGAGTGTTATGTTTGTCATGTAGGGGCTGTACGATGTGAGTGTTATGTTTGTCATGTGGGGGCTGTACGATGTGAGTGTTATGTTTGTCATGTAGGGGCTGTACGATGTGAGTGTTATGTTTGTCATGTAGGGGCTGTATGATGTGAGTGTTATGTTTGTCATGTAGGGGCTGTACGATGTGAGTGTTATGTTTGTCATGTGTGTATGATGTGAGTGCCATGTTTGTCATGTAGGGGCTGTATGATGTGAGTGTTATGTTTGTCATGTAGGGGCTGTATGATGTGAGTGTTATGTTTGTCATGTGGGGGCTGTACGATGTGAGTGTTATGTTTGTCATGTAGGGGCTGTACGATGTGAGTGTCATGTTTGTCATGTAGGGGCTGTATGATGTGAGTGTTATGTTTGTCATGTAGGGGCTGTATGATGTGAGTGTTATGTTTGTCATGTGGGGGCTGTACGATGTGAGTGTTATGTTTGTCATGTAGGGGCTGTACGATGTGAGTGTTATGTTTGTCATGTAGGGGCTGTGATCATGTAGGGGCTGTACGATGTGAGTGTCATGTTTGTCATGTAGGGGCTGTACGATGTGAGTGTTATGTTTGTCATGTAGGGGCTGTATGATGTGAGTGTTATGTTTGTCATGTGGGGGCTGTACGATGTGAGTGTTATGTTTGTCATGTAGGGGCTGTATGATGTGAGTGTTATGTTTGTCATGTGGGGGCTGTACGATGTGAGTGTTATGTTTGTCATGTGGGGGCTGTACGATGTGAGTGTTATGTTTGTCATGTAGGGGCTGTATGATGTGAGTGTTATGTTTGTCATGTAGGGGCTGTATGATGTGAGTGTTATGTTTGTCATGTAGGGGCTGTATGATGTGAGTGTCATGTTTATCTCCTGTCCTATTGTGTTTATACCCCACGTCCTCTAGACTGTGATTTCTGGATATGATGTTAATATACATTGTTAATGATAATATAAACTAACAGAAGAGGTTGGTAGAACTGTTGACCCATTCCCTGGCCTACTTTTCTCTTCAGTGAGAAGATTACTAGCCCTACGCATGTGTAGGATTCAAAAAGCAAGTGAGCCCACGATGCTGAAACAAGGGTATAAAACTTTAAAACTAAAGAAATGAAATCAAATAAAATATGGTTGCAGGGAAAGGTGAGTTTTACCTACCTAAACTGTTCCTTCAATCTTCCTCTGGTCGGTCATCTTCAGCTCCTGGTGCTTTATCTGACAGGAGCCGTCAGTGCTGTACCCTGGTGTATACGTAAGAGTACAAGACTGAGCCTTCTGATACCAAAGGTGACGCCAATAATGCCCTTTCCCTAAATTTGTATTATGCTCTTCTACATTGATTCCTGCACTCTAAGATTCGGGATTTAAGGAGATCTATTTACCAAGATGAACCGAAATTCATATCTGAATGGAGACAGGGGATAGAGTCCTAAAAGATGTGAAAAGATGTAAACTGTGAGGTAACAGTGAGGTAAACATTAAGGCTTCTGAATGGGACAGGTCCATGAGATATATTTATCTTCATGAGTGCACCTGCAACGTATGGAAGAAACTGTAGAAACATATTGAGCTCCTTTAAATTCTATTATTATTAAAGCAGTGACGTGCTACCCAGAACACAACACTGAAGACTTGTTCCCTTATATACAGATACTACAGGTAGTGAAAATGGGAATGTTTATCCAGAAATTATAATTGATTGAGTAGAGTGGGGTGTGCCTTGAACATGCCCTTGTAAGGTTAGGAAAGAAATTAAATGCCCAGGTTTGAAATGGTTTACTTGATCCAGTAATTTGGTAAGTTTTATGTTAAATTAGGCTACTCTAACCTTTTTTATGAAATTGTTTTATTTAGTCTACAGTGCTCTACTGGGAATTATTCTCTAGGCGACTCCCTTATAAACCTGCAAATAAAGAATAAACTTACCTGGACTTCATCTCTTGGCAAAGCCCCTATTGCTGGGTTCCATGCTTCCACAAAATGTAACCTGTGCCTGCTAGTGAGCCAATCAAATGGTTCTTATAGGGAAGCATTGATCCGACCGTTCTACCAGATCACAGCTCATGCACACACGCCTGGTAAAATAGGAAAGGGTGGGCAGAGAATGAGTGGAATTAAAAAAAAGTTTAAAAAAATGTAATTGCTATCAATGTAGGCGGTGGGTCGGGAGGGGAGATCAAAGCCTTGCCTTGCAGGAAGTGTTGCAAGTAAGAAGCTCATTATGCCTGTTACTAACGTGCTATGCACACTGACGACAGACATAACTTTTTGCACAGAATTCACACTAGGTAGCTAAGGAACAGCGAGTTCTTTGTTTAACGTGTCCACAACTTGTTAGTCTTTCCTGATCTCTGTACTCCTGGACCCGGCCTGGCATTACGTGTATTTCTGTATCCCCTGACCTTTGTTTTTTGACTCTGCTATTCTCCCCTACTATAGGCACTGTGTTATGCCAGCCAATCTAAGAGGCAGTATTATGTCACTATCATTTGTATACTATTAGGATGATGTACAGAGAAGAAGATACCACTAAGCACAGTGAAAAAACTCAGTATATACGGAAAAGAAGACAAGTGTTCCCTCAAACACCCACAAACTTAATATGAACAAAAAACAAAACAAGGTTAGCCTATTATGAATGAATGCACCCATAGTGTAAAATACTAAAATTGCAAATACAACCTTAAAACCCTATGTAACGCATGTATAATAATATAAAACCAAATCTGAAAAATAAAAACTTTTTTGTCGATGTTCTGGTGACTGTAGTGTCCCTTTAACTATTTCAGTCAGCAGAATTGGTTATGTTGGTTAGTGTTTCCCTCTAAGTAACTTTATGTATTTCTTTTCATTGCTGATTTTGATATTTACAGATTTAATCTAGACCCTCTCATTGCTGAGTACTTCTGAAACTTAGAAATAAAAATCAAGTTCTGCGGATTGTTCATGCATTGTAACTGGTATTTCTTTTGACAGTTTGTGCCACCTGGTGGTAGATGTTTCTTTCATTTGTGTTTAACCCTTATAACCCCTTGGCACTATATTATTTTTTGTTTTTAATAATTTTTAATTTTGTCCTTTAAATGGGCTAAAGTCCATGCAAGGACAGATTATATATTATATTCGATCATATATATATTTAAATTAGTGACCTAGTCACTAGTTAGACTGGTAAAACAACATAGGAGATGTAGAACTGCACATTTGGGCATCCACCTGTTGAATGAATCCTTACTCTGTAACTGGGTGCCTACATCCTTACCCCATCCTTACTATTTAGGAGTTATACCACCCTCTCTCCCCCCTCCCCCCCACCCAAAAAAAGAAAACATTCACATAAAGCTTGTACATTGATGCAGGCTCGCATTACTATGTCTCTATGTGAAGCATGCATGTTAAAAAAAAATATACAAAATATAGAGAAATGAAGTACATCTTGTACAATAATTATCTCCACTTGATGAAGCCTTCCTTGTGAAACGCATTGTGGATATTTTATACTGCTGCGGGATATTTTATACTGCTGCGAATCCTTTT